TATGCTTTTTTTTTTTTTTTTTTGTCCAATTATAAATCCAATTGCCAAAGTTTGGACCAAAATTTTAACCCCATATGATACTTTAGCTGCTTTCTAAAATAATGTTATATAACCTTTTGCATACGTCACAACCGAAGCATGACGAGAAAACCCGACGAAAGTGAAAGGATGAAAAACGAGAAAACCTGAAGAAAGCGAAAGGATGAAAAAACAGCTATCGACCCACATTTGTGCCCCATCACCATCTTCAACCTTCTTCTCTTCTCGTGCACCCCACCACCGACCCATGTCATCATTTTCTTCTTCAAGTGAACGTAGATAGTGAGGATTCAATGTCAGTGAACGAATGAGCATCGACATATTTGATACTCAAGCATTATAGCAACCTTCTCATTAGATTATGGAGCAAGCTTGTTATGAAGTTTTAGGGATTGTTGAAGAACAAAATCTTTAAATCTAAATTATCAAGAATCTCAAAAAACGATAAGAGAATCAACCTAAGAAAAAGTATTGAGACAATTACCTCGACGATCAACATCAAGAGTAAAGTACATTTGTTTCTAAGCTCGTAGTTCGAATCACTCCACAAGAGATCTGATCAACACTACTTGAATGATTCTATCATGCAAGTTACACACATGAATTCAATGAACATTAGGAAGCTGTGAAGTAGCTTATGATATATCAATTACATGGCAAACTTAGAGAAAGAACATTTTGTGAAGTAGCTTATGATATATCTGAGAGGTATATCTAGTATTTCACTTTGTCCCGGCAATGACAAAACAGTTCTGCAAGGTTTTATGGATTTGATCTTAATCTAAATGCAGACTCTAGCAATAACACATATGAATATATCTACACCATAGATGGAACAATAGTGCGTTGGATGTCCAGGCTTCAGAACTGTGTTGCTCTTTCATCTATTAAGACTGAGACGTGGCAATAGTTGAAGGTAGAAAGAAGATGATAGACTGAGTTCTTCACCAACTATATGACACTCTAATTGTCTGTGTTTGAAATGTTGGTAAAATATTTGTTTTTATAAATGCAATTCAAGATTATATATATATATATATATTCAAGTAATATTCTAAAAAGTCTATAGAATACCAATGATTTGATCCAAATCGTTGAGGTGGTGACATATGAGCACTCGTATGCTACATAATGAGTATATATAAGATTAGACTACAAAATATTTAATCTCTCTTTACAAATCATTCAAAATATTAATATTTCATAAGATGATGCTATGTAACTCGTTTTTAATCTTGAATGAGTTATGAAGTTTTGTTTGTGAGGGTTTATTTTTTTATTTGCATGGATGAAAATGATTTTTGTAATTGATTCAGGATGTCCAAGATTTTGCGAACTTGACCTAATAAGGAGCTATGAGCATAATCTTACGAGATGAAATTCATTCATTCTCATATTTGGTAAGTAGATGAGTTGTTCTTTTGAATGTTGATTTCGAGAGTTGAATATTAGTGTTCCACCCTCTCACTTATCAAAATTGTTCTTCACAAATCAATAATACTTATGATGAAAAATGTAATTACAAAGGTAAAACGTACTTTTGACCCAACTTTAATTACGAACAACTCATAAAGAATCGATTGACTCGTAAGAATTATACCCATAAACATAACTTATCTTACCGTGCATAAGAGTGCAACTCTAAACTAGCTTATAATGAAGTTAATATATAGTTAATAAATAAAAATTGATTAATATGAAATTCAACTTCAATAGAAGAATTAGAGTTGACTGATGTAGGTATAATATGATGTAGGTATAATATGATGAATTGCTCCACAATAGTGATATCAAAAGTAATCAAATGAGCTATAACGCAACTAAGAGACCTAACTACAACTAGTCGAGACCAACAGTGACCTAACCTAAGTGCTTTATATCCGATCCGTTTGAAACCAAACCCGAAACTCAATGAGGTCAATTACATATGAGCAATAGTGTATTGGTCACACATTTAGGCCTGCATCACTAACTTGTTGTACATGATAGCAATGTCATTTACTATATGTATCACTTTGTGTTTTCTAATAAACTTTACGTTTCACATTCATACCTATAAAACAATATCAGCGATCCAAACGATACAAATTATAAGATATTTAAGATTATTACAAGTACCAAAATATTTGTTTGAATCTGAGTTTAGAAGGAAGAAAAGGCAAACATGAAAGCTTAAAATGTCCATAATGTTTGATCTTCTTTTGATTTAACATAAATATTGTTTGAATCTGAGTTTAAAATCTGAATAACAAGCAGATGAATGCTTGTGGATTATATAATTAATGAATCTAAAACATATAATCCACAAAGAAATGAAACCCAAACATTCTGTACTCAGATTACTCATCCAAAAAGAAACCCAGCTGCCTGCTCTTCATTTCCATCAAATAGTTTGAGAGCTTGTATTACAGCCTCTCTTTGGAATCCCAATTCAACGAGCTTCGCTACTTTGCCTTCGAACTCGGGACCCTATGTGATCACAATATCAAACAGAGCGGAATCGTTGAATCATAACAATGAAACACATACCCAAACCCGAGTACATACGTAAACGTTTTGTAACATTATAAATTTAGTTCAACAACTTTCATAGTTGTACCTATTTATAAAAATACGTCCATAAACTTTGAATTGTGATTCTTGGACGAACGTAAGGTAATTTAGCATAAAACAAAGTAGCATGAGTTGGGCACGCAAGAATATGGACCCGCGACGTTATATTTCAACTAGCTGAACTAATTCTTTCTTTCACTTCTTTGATAGTAATACGTCATGTCAAATCAATCGATATTTGTCAAATAGTCATCTCCATGTTCATAAAATCAATACTAAATTTGTAATTATACACAAGTTTTACAGCAAATTTACCTGAACCGCTCCCCCAACATTTCCTGTTTGTAAGACAGTTAAAGAAAAACAAAAATCAGAAGTAAGCTTTAGAAATGAACACATGCATCATCTCTTTATATTATTGTACATACAAAGTTCATAGGAAAGTAGCAGCCAGCCAAGATGAACAATAGAAAGTGCAGTAATGAGAGAATGGCGTTATACTATTGATATCCATAACCCCATGAGAAGGTTTTGAATCCATCACCACTTGATTATAATCAATATCTTTTGGCTAAGAAACTACCAAAGCTGTCTAGCCATGAGAAGTAAAGTGTATTCACCTGTAGGCACAGCAGCTCTTGCACTTCTGCTGTTATCTGTTGGGGCCGAAGCCACCTGAGAAAAGCAAGCGATGAAAGGACAAATAAGAAAAGCGTACTAATGTGAAAATTTATACTATGACTCCACAACATCTTTGGTTTATTATTTTTCAGATTTACAGCTGCTCCTGAAAGCATATTCTGTATTTTTCTTCATTGATAATAACTTCCTTTTGTTTCGTGTCAAGGAAGGGTAAAGACCCGGCTAGATAACTTCTCTTTTTTTCTCCGTTTTTGAAAATTAAGCTTATAAACACTATTTCTGCATATATTTTTCTTGCTTTATCGCCTACTTTTTGAAAACTTTCTTAAAAAACTAAGCCAACTTTTAAAAACTACAATTTGGAAAGATATCATCCAGAACCACTAAACTGTTATTTAAATTACTTGGATGTGCACATATAAGAAATTGAGTAAGAGAAGAATAATGTAAGAACTCACTGGGGCTCCAGAGCTAGAGGCTTCCTTGGAAAGCCTTTCCTCATCAAAAAGAGAAGGGGGAATATCTTTCTCTGAACATAAATTTTTAACACGAGAGGAAACTTTAGTATACTAAAACATGTGTGGTGGTGGAGATAAAATTTGACACAAATAAGAAAGGCCAACCTTGCAAAAATGGTACAGAAACCTCTCCTCCACCAACTCTTAGAACATTCTCCTTCAAATCTATAATACACTGCA